GCAGGATGTGGAGGAGTGAGCGCAGCTCCAGAAAACAAACTGCCCCATCTTCTCTCCCCCTCTTTGCTCTAGGAACCAGTCTTAAACTTATGCAAAGTTTAAATGTGCAAAACCTATTTCTGGGCTAAACAGTCAGATGGGGATTCAATTCAGCATCATAAAGTCTCCCCAGGACAGGTGGGAAGGAACGGTAGAGATCATCTCATTCCATCTCTCCTTCTGCCATGGGCAGGGACAGCCAGGAAACCGTTTGCTTTGAAGTCTTGCTCTTCTGAAAGGAAGCTCAGGTGGGGAGTGGCCTGGGTGACACTGGAGAAAAGGAAGGTGCTGGGAAGTAGAAAAAGTACATGGAAGAAAATGGTTCTCCTGGACTTGCCTTGGGAGGGACGCCGTGGCTGAGTTGTTCTTCTCTAGACAAGAGGTTGTACCTTGGAAAGCTTCTGCTTTCCAATGAGCAGGAAAATGTGGAGGAATCTTCGCTGTGGACAGTTTTTTCTTTTGGCTCCTCAAAGACTCTCTGAAGGGAGAGACGGAGAGACCCTGTGGAGAAGGGTCTCCTGCAGCTCCCTGCCAAGAAGTAGATGAAGGGTTTGATGCTGCTGTGGAGGCAGGTGAGCAGGAAAAAAGTCTGGGATGACAAAAGGACGTGACCGAGCTGCTGCAGGAAATTGCAGAAACTGAGGAGGAGAGTGAAGAGCAGAGTGAGGACGATAACGATGTCGCGCCTCTTGGGTTGCTGCTGCTGGGAGCCCCAATTGGCCTTAATGAAATCAATTGTGCTGGAAATGAGCACGGGTGCAACAAAGAAGAGCAGGATGAGGCTGAACATGGAGATGAGCTGCACACCGCAATGCTGCTGCTCGTGTGATGGGCATAGGAATGTCACTGCAGGAATGATAGCAAAGAGAGCAAAGAAGGCAGAGTACTGGACACTGTCCACCACCCACACCAGTCGTTCAGGAAGGTCGGAGTGCCAGCAGAGCTTCCAGAGCGTGTACATGTACTGCACATTGCTGTTGAGCATCAGCCGGAAGAGCGCCCAGTAGTAGGAGACCACTGACAGCTGGAAAAGGAAACGCAGGTACAGGAGGGGCACAATAGGAGAGCAGGACACGTCCTCCACCAGGCTGAGGAGGGCAGAGGGGACGGCAAAGAGGAGGAAGAGGAAATCGGCAACAGCCAGGTCAAAGATGCCATAGTTGGGGATTTTCAGGTTGAGGAGGCCGATGACAGCCCCGTTCCCAGCCAGCCCACAGAGGCAGATGAGCAGAGTCACACTGTGTATGGACACATCAGTGACATCTGTAGAAAAATAAAAAAGGAAACATACTGACCTCCAACACTGAAACAAACGGCAGTACTGGAGAAACTTTTTGCAAGGGATGGACAGCATAATGACCCTGACAAGGTCAGGTGCACAGTGCAAATGCGGTGGAGCCTTGCACAGCAGGGGCCATCGGAATACTCCAGCTTCATGGGAACAATGCATTTAGTGGACTACCAAGAAACAGTGAGTTCTGTAGCAAGCAAGGTCAGGAATGATGAGACCATTGTCCATGGCCTGATGCACACTCATGTCTCTGCTGTGGTTGAGTCTCAAGGATGAACAGGAAAAATTCAGAGAGAAGATGAGCAAGGAGATAAGCAAGGACAGTTGCCATGTGACACCAGTGCAAACCAGAGCCCCCAAAGTCAGTGCCCAACATCCCCCAGCTAGGGAGCGGGAGCACACCCCATGAGCTGACCTGTGGTTCTTCCTGTATGAACATGGAGAAGACATGAGAGGGTGGACAGGAAAACCCATGTCTGTCCTAGCAGCACGCGGATGCAAGCTAAAGGAGGAAACTACTAACAGAGTTTTGCACCCAAATGAATGCAGCCCCAGCTTCCCGTGACCGAGCTGCCATGTATAGCAGAAGGGAGGATGATATGTCAGATCCCCTTGAAGGAACATCCAGAATATTCACCCAGGGAGGGAACGGTAGCCAGGAGAGGCCCTGCCTCCAGCCAGGTAGAGGCCAGGGAAAATTGTGTCTCTGGGGCTGTGTGGATCCCTGGCACATCAGAGCCATAGAAATACGAGGCTTTTGTTGACACGGGTGCGCAGTGTACTCCAATCCCATCAGGATACGTGGGGGAGAACCCATTTCCATTGCTGGGGTGACAGGGGGATCACAGCAGTTGACCCTGCTGGAAGCTGAGGTGGGTTAGACTGGGAAAGAGTGGAAGAAACATCCTATTGGGACTGATCCAGAGACTCTGTGTATTCTGGGCATAGATTTCCCCCGGAGTGGTTATTTCAAAGACTTTATTCAAAAGGACTCCGGTGGGCTTTTGGAATAGCTGCTGTGGAGGCAGAGGGCGTTAGGCAATTGAAAGTTCTTGCTTGGCCTGTCTGAAAATCCTTCTGCTGTTGGGCTCTTGAAGGTAGGAGGGCAACAAGTACTAATTGCCACCTCAAGGATGCATCACCTGTCGCTGTTGGGGCGGTCATGACACAACGAAGAGACTAGAAGCAGTCTCATTTGGCAACTGTTTCATACGAAATATGTCCGACTTCTTATACACTGTGTGATAGTTTATACTTCTTTTACCTTAACTATTGGCCACAATAAATCAACATAACACTATTGGTGAAAAGTTACAGTGACTTAACTAACTTCCTAAAAATACTCCATCCAGCTGCAAAGTTCTCTTCTTATCTTTCTTCTGTTCCTCACTTCTCTTGGGCTCCTTGTTTACAGCCTTGAAGACAGCTCCTTATCAGCTACTTCTTTGCTTCTTGCTCCTTCAGCTAACAGGCCCACTGTTAGCTCCTTCCACAATTCCCCCTTTTTGTTTTTGATCTGTAACACAGCTGCTATGGATGTTTGCAGGGCCCTTTGCAAAAATCCAAGCAGAAAGGGGAAACACAAGGCAACAATCATAACTATCAACAAAATTAATATTCTCATTCTCAATACAATCATTCTTGTCCTTCATTCATCTATAAGTGCTTTTAACAACTTTATCTTATAAAACTGTGAACTATAACCACTCTCAATGCTCAAAAGGAGTTGCAGGAATACCAGAACAAGGGTTCCAAAACTCTGCATTAATTAATAAGACATGTAAAATCACACAATTATCAAGCACTAAACTGTCATTTTAGGGTTTGCAACAGCTGACAAGCCTTAAAACAACAGAGAATGGAAGAAATTATGTCTGGATTCATGTTTCTCTAAGCTCCCTTTGAAAATTGGCTCAGCTGTCATATATGGTCAAATTGCTAAGTCAAAAGGACTCGAATACTTTTTTGCTGCAGAAAAACATCTGGGTTGGTTGTCAATTATTCTATCTAAGTAGAGCTGGAGCTTGGCTAGAGCTCGAAGTCTAGTTGGTGGGTATCACTTAACATACTTTCCAAAACAAGATTCTTAAAAACAACTATGAATAAGAAACTTTAGGGTTAAAAATTATTCGCACCATGAAATCATTGAATTCTTCTGAAGTCTTTGTCAGGATGAAAATTCTTCAAACACGACAAACCTTCAGAGATCTGAATTTGGTCACAATCAGGATTGTGTGCCTAAATCTGGACACAGAGTGATTAATTTCTACACAAAAATGAATTCATAGTCTGAACCATATTATGATTTAAAGGTTTATACAAAAACTTATAGAATGGAGAAAATGTAACTGAATGAAAGACTGATTACTTAA